TGCACTCACGTGGGCAGCCACTTAAGCTGGGAACTTGGAAGTCCTCCTCAATGTATTCACTTTTAATCACCTTTTGATTTTGTGTCTTAACCGCCTTGCACACTGCTGACCTTCCCCATCCCCATGGCCCCTGCAAAGGAAGCCCCCAACAAATATTTCTTGTGTTGGCCAGTCAGTGATTGTGTAACCACAATCACTCTGCCTTTGACTTTCTCCTCACCCTCCTGCTAAAAATTATTCACCTACAACAAATATTTGGTCATGTGACTTCTTGGGTTTTCCCTGTGACCTATGGGACTGAGACCAAGCTCCATAAACTCTTTGGGAACTAGCCCTTCCAACATCTTTCTGTTCCCACTTTGTTAACCCATCTGCCCAAACCACAAACACAGTTCCGTCTGCCTAAACATTCCCTTCTCCTCTCCTCCATCTGACTTCTCTTTTACTTTACCACTCAGGCATCCCAGATTCTGGGCTATCTTGCCTGTTTTCCCTCCTCACCCCTATCCCCAGGTATAGACTCACAGCTCCCTGCATTGCCTTATCATAGAATTGATCATGACAGAAGATAATACAACATAATAGCTATTAATACAGGCTCTTTAAATCAGACTCCCTGGATTCAAATCCCTGCCATGCCACTTAACAACTGTGTAAACATGAGAAAGTTGCTTAACCTCTCTGAGCCTCACTTTTCTCATCTGTAAATAGGATAATAATGCCTCATAAGGTTACTGTGAAGATTAAATAAAATAGTTCATGCAATATACTTAAAACAGTACCTGACACAGAATTGTTCTCCCACTATTTAAGTGATAGCTATTATCATCTGCTTTATAATTTGCTTGTCTGACTCTCTCATAAGACATATGGACTAGATTAGGATCTCATTTGTCTTTCTGTCTGTACTTGACAGAGATAAGGATATAATAGACCCTTGAGAAGTTTCCACTGGATTAATGATGGAAAGATGGATAAATGGATGATGGATGGATTATTGGATGGATGAGTGGGTGGGTGGATGGACAGATGGATGGATGGATGGATGGATGGATGGATGGATGGATGGATGGATACATGCAGGCATACAGACATACATGCATGCATGAATAGGCTCATGGATGGATGGATGGATGGATAGATGGCTGAACGGGTGGGTTTATGATCTAGATGGATGGGTAGAAAGTCAAATGGGTGGTTAGATAGACAACTTTGTCCTGTTTAAATTGTATGGAACAAAAGAAAACTGTGCCTGAAGTCAATCCTGTCAGCAGGCTGAAATAAGGTTCTGCAGTATGTGATTTATTAAGTTTGGGGTTATTGTTTTGTTTTGTTTTGTTTTCTAAGCACAGCTGTCTTCCTGCTTAGGATTTTTGGTTTCAGGCAATCTGTTACTTGCAATATCACTGTATTCTTGTAAATTTAGACCTTCAGTAAATCTTCTTCAAGGTTTAGAAAAAAAAACACACATGTAAACTGTTTTGGTCACAGAGTAAAGACCTGTGATACTTGACCTAGAAGACTTTGCAGTTTAATTGGGAAAAAAGATTCAATGAATAGAAGTTTGTCAGTTACCATTATCCTGGAGTTGCCTTCCTGCTGGGTCAGAGACAGCACCAGAAGGCTTTTGGTGACACCCAGGATAACTCAGAAAAGCAACTTGGAAAAGGTGGTCTGTGGTTTGAAGGTGAAGAAGGAAGCATGTTTCTCGGCTCAGGCCAAGGTGAATCCTGAAGGTTGACAGCAGAAAAACTAGGTCAGAATGAATGCTCAATGTAGCTGAGGAGGAGGTGGCCGCTGACAGTAAGGGCATCCAGCTCGGAATGGAAGCCTTGCACCTGGTCCAAAGATACACAGAGCCTTTGACCTAGTGAGATATGGACAGTGAGAGTAATTTTATCTGCTCCTCAGGGTTGTGGGGAGGATTGAAAGAGGTAAGTTGTGACATCCCAATGCCTGACTCCCCAAATTTCTCAAGATATATCCGTTTTCTTCCTTCCTTGAAAGCAGCACAGGCTTGAGGTCAAGAACATGAGCTATAAGCCTTAGAGCCATGTTGCTGTCAAATCCAGTTACTAGCTGTGTGATATGAAGTTACTTTTTGTTTGCCTCAGTTTCTTCATCAGAATAGTGGGAATGGCAATAATACCTATCTTTTAGGGCAGCTGTGAGGAATACATGAGTTAATAATGTGTGCTAAAGCTGAGAACAATACCTGGCACATAGTAAGTGCTGTATAAGTATTTGTTCTTATTTTATTATTCCTAAAGAGGGGAACACTTTGTTCCTGGTGACCAGAATAAAAAGCAGTAAACCTTATGTCTGTGGATGAGGTGCAGACATAAACCACCCTTTATTGAGCCCTAATACATTCCAGATGTTTAGATTAATATCAATTTAGATTAATGTAATTTACATAAAATACTTTATATATTACATATCATATCTAATGTGAGTATAATTTAGATTAATACAATGCTAGTGCCTATGGTGATTCTTGGGAATACATAATTATTGCCCCCAAGCTTGAGAGAGAGAAACTTGGACTCAGGGCTGTTTAGTGACTTGTTCGAGGTCATGCAGTTAGTCAGGTGATGGTGCTGAGATGCTAAGGCTTATTGTATTTCCACTCCTCAAAGCTGTTTGAGCTGTCAGTCATCTATGCTGTCCACCTTAGTGCATGGATCGGGAAATAGAGGTCCAAAGGGAAGAAGAACTTACTTGTCCAAGATGTCACAATGAGCAATTGAAAGATCTGAGATTATAATGCTGGCCTCTTGATTCTCAGCTCATTGTTCTTGACAATACAGAAAACACAGGTGTCCTATAAGTCTTCATCAAATGGATCCTGAGTTTTCTGTCCCAGGGGAATCACTTTCCAGACACTGAACCTGCCAGCAGTGAGGTGGAGAAATGATCTCCTTACAGTGCCAACCTATATGGCTGGTGAGGGGGATTTGATGACTTTCTGTAGGAGCTTCCAATTCCCACTCATCGCAGTCCCCAGTTCTTCACCTTCTCATCATCTAGGGTCACCATTCTTTCAGTCTAGGATATTGAACAGTTTTCTCTGTGACCAGATCTTGCTGCACTGTGGCTCATTTTCCCCAGCTCAGCCCCTTAAGGAGGTGTGGGGCTTTCCTTCTTCTGTGGCTTCCTATCTTTTAGACTCACTTTCCTTCTGGTATGTAGGGTTGGGCTTTGCCAATTGATGAAAGAAAGACTAGAGATAGCCCCATCTTGGGAGCTTTGGGTATTTCCTACTTGAGATGGGAAAATTTAGGGCTATGAAGACATGTCCCCCCCACTCCGCAGTTATAAAGACTGTATTTTCCTGTACCAAGCAAATGGGATAATGGTTGCAAGTAATCAAATAATTCAAGAAAAAAGGAAACCATTCTTGTCTACTCAGATGGATATTTGGAGACCTGAATTATCTAGCCATTTTTCTCAATCTGCAAATGTATCACTTATTGTCACGATAGCTAAATCTGATGTGAAATAAGAACATGCCTATTTATTTTCTTACAACATAAGAAAAGTCATAACAAAGGGAATATCATGCTTTTATCTGAGTTTTGTGATTGCTTAGAAGCCAGGAGCCAGTAGGGACATTGGAGAGAGATTGAAGCCAGTGATTTGGCAAGCTTTCTTTTAGAGAATGGAATTCTCAGCCATATGATATCTTAAATGAAACTTCAATGTATAAAATAGATTAAAGTGCAGGTGCTGTGGTGGATGGTGGGGGCCAGCAGCCTCACTTGCTCAGTACCCTCCTTCTTCATTACACAGTGCCTGCTATAGAACCCCCAGACTTCTGTGAACACAGTTTGAAAATTACTGATCTAGTTTAATGCACCTAAGGGACAGATGCAGAAATGAAGGCACCGAGAGTTTATTCAAGGTAGAGTCTGTTCAGACTGAAGGTTGGAACTCCTCCCTCTCAGTACAGTGCTCTTCCAAGATAAGGTTGGACTTTGTGCTGGTCATCTACTGCCATGTAACAAACTACCCCCAAAATCTAATGACCTAAAGAGCAACAGTTATTTATTTTTCTCATGTGTCTTCACTTTGGGCAGAGCTTAAAGGGAATGACTTATTTCTATTCTGCGATGTCAGTGGTCTCAGCTGAGGTATCTTGATTGGCTGAAAGTAGAATGGCTGGGGGCTGGTGGGACATTTCTTTCTCTTTATGTAGTCTCAGAGGCTCTCCTGTGATCTCTCCAGCATGGTAGCCTCAGGGAAATTGGGCTTCCTCTATGGAGACTGAGGGTTCTAAGAGAGTTATGGACAGAGCTGAGAGGCTTCTTATGTTTTTCCCCAGCTTGGAAAGTCCCAGAACATAATTCCTACCACATTCTGTTCACACAGGGCCAGCCCTGACTCAGTGTGGAAGGGCACTCCACAAGGGCCTGAATACTAGGAAGTGCAGATCACTGGGCAGCCATCTTGGGTACTGGCTATATGATTTCCTTGCTTTGGGTATGACCTTACTAAATTGACTCTGATGTGATTCTGTCTCTTCTGAAATAGAGGAGAAAGAAGAAGTTTGGTGTTGCTTAGATCACAGGACATTATCATAGGGAAGAGTGGTAGACTAGTCCTAGGAAGCCACTGAGAGCTGATCCAATACCCCCACCCACCGCCCGCCGACCAAAAAAAAAATCATAATTATAAGGAAGCTAGTTTTGGCTGACCATAAGGAAGAACTTTGAAACAACTACAACAGCCAACATGAAACTTGGCTTCCTCTGTGTGAGGCCATGAGTTCCCCTATTATAGAAGAGGTCTCTCTTGTTTCTTCTACTACTGGAAATATCTGATTCTCAGCGAAGATGATTAGTAGAGGAACTTGCATCTCCTTGAGCTTAGGGATGCTGAAATAATATGTGCATTTCTAAGAATCAAGATTTCATTAAAAATCTAATTCTTGTTTGTTTGTCTTTTCTTTTTCCCCCATTTTGGACATTTCCTTCATCTGACTGCCCATCAATATATAGAAGAAATGCTTATTCCTACTCCTATTACTTGTAAGTATCGAGCTGGTGTTAACTTTGCTTCGTGCCCTGTAAGGGAACCTGTAGCATGCATTTCCCGCACCAACCAAGTGTCTGTTAGTTTCTCATTTTCACTTCTGTCTAAGCTATCTGTAGCCTTAAAGTTTTTATTTTGCATAAATATGTTCCATTTGAAAGTGTACTGTCATTGTTCAAGTTCGTTATGTTTCTGCCATCTTGGATTTTTTTCCTCTTATTTTTAGAGATGTGAAGGGCTGTTTCTCCTTTGTGAGTGCAATTTTCTATTTAGGAATCCCTGAATTCCATCAAGCAGGGGACCAAATCCTGCTGTAGGACTTGCACACATAAGACAGAATCACAGTCTTAGCAACTTCTGAATCCATTTGTTTTTACCTGGAGAATGGGTAGCCCTGGGGGCTCAAAGTTTAGAAAGGAATTCATTGGCTGTTTCTGCTATTTCAGAAAATCTGCAGGGATTCATTACTTGATCTAGAACCAGCCTCACAGGTGAAAGAAACATCCAGTGTCTTTGCTTTGGGCTGGGATTATGTGTTTGGTGTTTAGCATTATTTATCTTATGTTATCAACGCATTTTGTTGGAAGTTATAGATGGGTGCTTGCTTATCCGTTTTTTTGCACTTGCTAAAAAATAGTGATTATTTTCCTTATTAATAAAACGGAGGGCCGGGTGTGGTGGCTCACGCCTATAATCCCAGCACTTTGGAGGCCAAGCGGGTGGATCACCTGAGGTCAGAAGTTCAAGACCAGCCTGGTCAACATGGTGAAACCCCGTCTCTACTAAAAATACAAAAATGAGTTGGGTGTGGTGGCAGGTGACTGTAGTCCCAGCTACTCAGGAGGCTGAGGCAGGAGAATTGCTTGAACCCAGGGGTGGAGGTTACAGTGAGCCAAAATCGTACCATTGCCCTCCAGCCTGGGCAACAAGAGCAAAACTCTGTCTCAAAATAATAATAATAATAATAATAAATAACAACAACAACAAAGATTCTCAAAACATGAGAGCAAAGGAGAACAACTCTGTACAATAGATCCTTGGTGATAAAAAGTTAGAAGGCCCCTGAACTAGTCCTACATTCCTAATATGCACTTTCTATTTTTGAAAATTGAGAGGTTGTAGGGACCTTAGAAAGAGACTGAAGGATGTGAATTCGTGGCACATCCAGCTAGCAAAAGAGTGGGATTAAAACAAGTAATGCCTGGCTTCCAGTAAAGTGTATTACTTAGCACTCCATGTCTTCCCTCACCTCTGGCAAACTCAGCTTTATGAGAGAGGCTGTGCCTAACAGCATTACCTGCTGAGGACTTCACAGATAAAGATGGAGCCAGCAAAAGGCTGCCCCATCCCCTCTGCTCAGTGTTGGGTCCACAGGTCTTTAGGACGGGTACTACCACCCTCATGTTATATGGGAACAAATGGACCCCCATCACCAATACTGGAAGTACCAGATCACTTATGCCATGTGTTTATTAATTCATCCCACAAACATGCTTTGAACATGCACATTATGTTTCAGACAGTGTAGATGAAGAAATGACTAGAGGCTGGGTGCGGTGGCTCAAGCCTGTAATCCCAGCACTTTGGGAGGCCGAGACGGGCGGATCACGAGGTCAGGGGATCGAGACCATCCTGTCTAACCCGGTGAAACCCCATCTCTACTAAAAAATACAAAAACCTAGCCAGGCGAGGTGGTAGGCGCCTGTAATCCCAGCTACTCGGGAGGCTGAGGCAGGAGAATGGCATAAACCCGGGAGGCGGAGCTTGCAGTGAGCTGAGATCCGGCCACTGCACTCCAGCCTGGGCGACAGACCGAGACTCCGTCTCAAAAAAAAAAAGAAATGACTAGAACCCAGAGGTTCAGCCTTACAGTATTCAAACCTATCTGAGAGACTAGCATAACATCACCTATTAGAAACGTCAGCTGAGAGACGCCTCTACATACTGTGGTACAGGAGCACTTAGTTGAGTGACAAATTTTTTATATTGCAGGGGATAGTTATCAGTGTATTCAGAGATGGCTTTACACATTACTGAAAAAATTAAAGTTCTGATTAGAGGAAACTGCATCTGCAAAGGAACGGAGGTACAAAACAATATGGTGTGTCATTGCTATGGTGGAAGGAGAATGAGCTTTTGGAGTGATGCAGCTCTGGGCTCATGTCCTGCCTCTATCATGCACTGGTTATAGAGCCGTGGGCAAATTTTCTAAACCTTTTGATTCTCTTTTCTCTTAATTATTAAATGAGGGTAATAGTGCCTGACTCACAGAGTTGTTGTGAAGAGGAGATGAGATGATTTTGTAAAGTGCCTGGCACAAAGTTGACACTTGTGAAATATTAGTTTTGTTTATTTCCCCTTTCAGAAACCACAGGGTTCATGGCACGAATGGCAGTCCCTGAGAGCCCCTCTGTTCTTTCAGGGCCTCTTAGGGTTTGCATGTTTCACAGCAGATGTGGGTATACAGGGACCCATCACCACCTCTGGCATCTCACCTCCATCCCTCTATCAGCCAGTTTGTCTAGCAGGGTCTTTGAATGCCCACTTTATATAGTGTTGTGTGCTGGGTGCTGGGGTGGATACCAAGATGAGCAGTGTGAGAGGACAGAGGATGGATCTGCACATACTTGCAGTTGAAGGTCCAATGATTTACAGGCCTTTCAGTTGGTCGAAGTTCTGTGCCACAGGTCCCCGAGCAGGAAGCTCATACCAGTAGCAGGATGCAGAAGCATCTGGATAGGACACAGGGTTTCCATAATTATCTTTATCTTATATTCACCAACTTCAGGGCCCCCATGAGGGTCATATATTGTATGCCACTGCAAATAGCCTGCCTTCTATAGAGAAACCTTAGGTGGTTAGGTTTTTCTCTTAAGCACCATCTTCCCATCCCAACTACCACCAAGCACTTGTGAGAGATGAACCAGTTCCTAGACTTAAAGGGATTGAACAGGTAAGATATGTTTAATCATTTATACAGGAGAGGAAAATAGGAAACCACCACCACACGCCAAGTATTTTGTACATACATTTGCTCACTGAGTCCTTTGAATAGCCTAGTTCGGTAGGTACCATTATCCCTATTTAATGGGAGAGAAATTGCTCTGAGAAGCTAAATCATTCCCCCAAAGCTACCCAGAAGTAGATGGGAGGGAGAACAGATTATCCTGGAAATAGAGACCTCTTGGGGTGAGAAATGGTCATGTGAGTTATATGAGTATGACTCTGGATATATTGCAATGAGAATGCTGGTGGAGCTCCCAAGCAAAAGCATCCATTGGGAACTTGGAAATGCAGAAGTGAAGTCTAGGTGGGACATGGATGTTTGGAACCTTCCCCTGAGTGGTGGCAGATGAGAGTGCCAGGTGGATGAAAGCAGGCCTGAAGAAAGAGGACAAGAACAGAGGGCTAAGGGCCAGGGGCTGAGGCCCAGGAACTGACCATGATTATAGAAATAGAAGAGGAGAGGAACTGGCAAAGCAGACAGACAGATAGGAGTAAAACATAAGGCCCAAGAGGAGAAGGTTTTTGCAGCAGGGGGAGTTAGTTGGCCATAGCAGATGCCGCAGAGGATGGAGGGGGTGGGCTTGGGCATGACCTTGACATTTGGCCATCATAAATCACTTGCACAGGTTTTAGGGATGAAGATTTAGGAGGAAGCCATCCTGCTTAGGGACCATGAGTAGGATCACCTTTTTTTGTAAAATGGAGGAGACACATGATACTGGCCTCCGGAAGGATTAGAAAGTCCTGGGCAGAGATTTAGTTATAGTGGAGGAGCCTGGGCAGAAGGAAGGGGCTGAAGATGCTGGAGGCGGGGGCTATGGAAGGGAAGGTCTGGAGGCTAGGTGTTTGGTCACAGGCAACAGTGTAGGAGAGGAGGAGGGACAGGACTCGGAGACCATAGGATTGAGAGAGGCATGGAGATGAGGAAGAGGAAACAGAAAGGAAAGGATGTCCCCCTATGTGCTAGTATATACCCTGAGGGGGAGCCTTGAAGCCTCACTCCTCAATGTGTGGACCATGGACCAGCAGCATCAGCATCACCTGGGAGCTTGTCAGAGATCTAGCATCAAGGGCCCCAGCCCAGACCCCTGAATCAGAATCTGCATCATAACAAGGTCCCAGGTGATTCATACACGTTAGAGAATCACTGACTTAACTGGAGTCTCACTCGTCTTATCTATAAAATAGGGAAAGTAATACCCTCCTCATAGGTATTAGGGGCCCCTGGTCCTTTTAATGAATAAACACTGATTTCATTGAAGAGATTGGTTAGCCAAAGGGTGTCCTCTCTTCAACACACTTTGACTAACCAATCTCTTCAATGAAATCAGTGTTTATTCATTCCACAAATACTTGTGGAATGCCCTCTATATGCTAGGCATTGGACAAGGTTCTGGGTATATAGGAGTTAGCACAAGCAAAAATCCCTACACACGTGGAGCTTTTTTAGTAGAAGAGGTAGAAAATAAACAACATATATAACAAAAATAAATAGTATGTAGTGGTAAGAGCTAAGAAGAAGAAATAAACTAGGGAAAGAGGAGATAAAGTATGGTGGGGGAGGAGCAGAGGAATTCTATTTTTCCCCCAAAATAAAGAGGCCGTCAAGTGCTCTCCATCACTGAAAGTATCCCTACACAAGAACAGTGGTCCATAAATATTTTCCATAAAGAGCCAGACAGTAAATCTTTTCGGCTTTACAAGCCAATGTGTTCTGTGTCGCATCTATGCACCTCTGATGTTGTAGCATGAAGTCATGGCGATGTGTTTGAATCAGTGTGGCTGTGTTCCAATAAAACTTAATTTTAAAAAACCAAGCAGTGGGCCAGATTTGGCCCACAGGTCACAGTTTGCCAATTATTGCCCTAGAGTTTTGAGAGTAGGGAGAGGGTGAGGTTCAAGATTCATCCTGTTTTATTGAACTCCTGCCTGATACTGCAGGCACAAAAGTGAATAAGGCACACCCTATACCAGACTACAAAAGGGCAGA